TTTTTTTTTTTTTTTTTTTTTTTGGTACTGAGGATCGAACCAGCACCGCTGAGTTAAATCCACATCCCCTCTATCACTCATTTTTAAAAATGAGTTTTAAGTTCTCTATATAAATATAATTTGGATGTTAATAATTACAAGTCTGTAATCCTAGAGTTATGCTATATATAAAAGTTATGCTATATATATAAAGAATATGTAAGTAAATAAATTATATGAAGAAGATTGGAAAAGCATTGCAATACATTCACAAAAGAAGAATTTCAAGTATTCTTTATTTCAAGTATACTTTAGTTCAATGTCAATTTACATAAGAATGTGCCATTTACCTAGTGACAATGCTGTCTAGTGGCACAGTAAGAATCAGAACTCAGATCCTTGAACTCTCAGTCCAGGATTTTTTCTCTCTCTATTACAGCCTATTTTTACCATAAAAAATAGTTTTTGAAAACAAAATTATTCCTAACTAGCTCTGAACTGTTTAAATCCTAATAAAGAAGGAAAAGAATGTAGAAGAACAAAATATAATTAAATTATATCCTAATGAAGAATACATACATTGGGGAGTGGCAAAGAAATATATTATACTAGCAACAAAGTATGTTGGCAAAGGGCCAATTCAGAGCCCCAGCGTAGCTCTCAGCCCAAGCAGCTCCTAAGAAGACACTATTTCAGAATGTGAGAAGAGTTATGCTGTCTAAAGAATATGTCATAGGGTTTAGTTTCAGGACATAGGACAGAACAAAACTGGGGTAAACTTGATGAACCATCTGAATAACTAGACAACAGAACAGTACCTAATATATCATTAACATTACTTTTATGAAACTTCCCCCATATCAACTGTTCCATGCAAACAGTCTCATCTAACATGATATTAGAGCTTCTGCAGCTGCATATCCTTTTCTAAGTGACTGAACTTGCTAAATCTCATACGGCAAGGAGTACTATTCATTCCTTCTGTCTGCCAGGACCCTCTCTTCCTAGCCATCCCTGTGGAAGGATTTCAGGTCCCACCTCACTGAAGTCTATTATGACTGTGTTGGTCAAGAAAATGGATACACATACAAAAAGGATTCAAAATACAAAGAGATATTAGCACAGTTGTGTTCACTGTGGCATTATTCATACTAGCCAAAAAGTAGACACAAGTAAAAATAATCTAAATGCCCATCAACAGATGAATGGATAAAGAAAATGTGCAAAATGCATACAATGGAATATCATGAAGCTTTAAGAGAAGGAAAATCCTGTCTCATGCTACAAATATTGATGAACCTTAGGACATTAAGTAAAAAAAAAAAGTTAATCACAACAAAAAACTGTACAGTTCCACTCAAAAACAGTGCAGTCAAATGTGGAACAGTGCCTGTTAGGGGCTGAGGGGAAGGAGAAATGGGCAGCTGTGTGCAGCGGGAATAGGGTGAGTTTTGCAAGGTGAAAGAATTTTAGAGATCTATTGTACAATAACGTGAATGTACCTAACAGTACTGAACTTTATGCTTGTTTTTTCTATCACAATAATCACTAAAAGCTCCTCTAAAAATCATAAACACATTCATCCCATTTTTAAAGAGGTTCAGTAATATGACATGTATTGCTTTTTTGTAGTTTTAAACTCTGAAAGTATACTCATAAGGTAGGGTTCAGGTATAGAATGTCTTCCAAAAGTCCAATATGTTTAGAAGTGAGGCTTATGAAACATGATTGGATGATGGGGTGCTACACTTATCAGTGAATTAACCCACTGATGAGTTCATAGCTGAATGTGCTATTAGGAAGTGCAGCCTGGCCAGAAAAGACAAGCTCCTGGAGGCATGATGTACAAGGGTATGTTGCCTGCTCAATTCTTCCCCCTCTCTGCTTCCGGGCTGCCATGAGTTGAACAGCTTTCCTCTGCCAAGCCTCTCTCCCACACTTTTTCTGCCTAGAAGTCAGACAACTGCGGACTGAAATGGTAAGCCAGGGAGGACCTCTCCTCCTTGGAATTGTGCATGTTGATATTTTGTCTTTTCCCACCTGTATTTTCCTCTGCAAGAACTATTACCGATCATTCTCACTCTTCTAAAAACCTCACCCTTTTGTCACAAATTCACCTGTTCTACTTCTCTACCAGTTCCCATCTAGTTGGCTTCAATTGTTGTTGGCCTTCAGCTTAAATGTTACATCTCCTGCAGGTTTTTTCAGTCCTCTTTATCTAATTTGCTTGTAAAGCTCAAAGGTTCAGAGAGTCTCAGAGTTAATGGCTTCTGTATCTTCTGTACCATTCTGACTTTGTTCCGTAACTCTAGTCCAGTATTCCCAAAATCTTACATACAGAAACATCTTCCTAGACATTCTACAGGTGACTATCAATTTTATTCCTAGTCTCTAACCACTAAATGTCTAACCACTAAATGTCTGTAGTATTGCCACCCCCAACTTCTGCCCATCATGACAATAAAAGTGTCACCAGATGTTGCCAAACTTTTTCCTATGGGGAAAAGTCACCACTGGCTGAGAACCACTGACACAGAACATGCTTGTTAATATATAAGTAAATAAATAGTACCATTTTACATATCATGACTGAAAATAAAAATCTGTCCTAAGACTAAGAAAGAACAAAATAATTTACCTTTTCAGCTAATTCTTCTGCTGTTATCTTTGGGTCATAGGGAATGGGGTCACCTAAATAGGTCCGTAACTTCACTGGAAAACCCCCATACATTGGAGCAAATGGATAGCGGAATTTTTCGTAAAGCGATCTAAATAACCCTGTTTTAAAATAGACAAAATCACTTTTATTGGTTAAATACTGTGAGCATATAACTGTAAGCTTTTAAGTTAATTATGCAAGATTTACAGGAAGATAGCAAAATACCACTTCTTGAAAATTAATAAAATATTTTAAAGGATGACCTTTTCATCAATTGTAACAAATATACTGCATCAATGCAAGATATTAACAATAGAGAATACTAGAGGACAGTGAGGAAATATATAAGAATACCCTATATTTCCTGCTCAATGTTATTAACTTAAAAAATAAGGTTTCAAAATATGAGAACTTAAAAGAACAAATTATTATTATTATTACCAAACAAAGGGTAAAGACTGCAACCAAATGCTAGAAGCTAAATTTTCTAGAGACTCAAACTAAGTGACCTAAAAGTGGGGGTGGGGGTGGGTAGATTAAGTTTAGGTAAACACAAAAGACTTCAATGAACCAATAAACTACTTACAGGCTAACATACATGGTTGTAAACTGAAAAAACAAAACTAATACATAAAAACTTACTAATGTTATTGACCAAGTATGAAATTTAGCATGATTAAATATAAAGTAGTTAAATATGTAATATAAACTGATGAAGTAAGTTTAAAACATAGCATTAAAGAAATCCATAAAGGTAAGCCAGATGGACTATACTACAATCATATATTGTTACTGAAAGTAGAAAACACTGTTAATGTATAGAAATACAAAACACACCATCAGATCCAAAGTAACACTTAAAAAAATCCCAATATATACTAATTTTTTACATACCTAGCTTTGAGGTCAAGAAAAATAAAAAAAATTAATTCTAACAGTATGATTAAAGAAAACATTTCTGGAATAATTTCTGGTTTGCCATTTAAACTATAAACAGGTTGAGAGAAAATTTGAACAACTCTACAACAAAACTTAAATATAACAATCTGCCTTTCTACTTTAAATTTGAAAAAGAGAGGAAAATTAAGACTTAAAAATCACAATGAAGTATTAACAAATAGCAACATTACAAGTTAAAGAGCAATTTAAAGCTCTTCAAAAGAGGACTCACTCATAAGTGTATACAAATACTAACAATTAATAGTGCTAGGGATATAAAACAACTGACTGAACACAATATAGGTAAAAGTGAAAATTGCAAAATAAGCAAACAAAAACATTTGCAAAGAAAAGACATATCCAATTGTTATCATTGTTAGAACTGGATTAAAAGCTTATTTTTTAACCAGTAAAATAAAGTAAATAAAAAGAACTCTCAATTATGTTTAAAATATATTTTTTTCTTAAAGTGGCAGAAATAAACCATAACAAATGATACCTACTTAGGCTGTTAATCTTATTTTAACTCATAGTGTGATCCTTTTTAAAACCTGTGACTTCTTCATGGTTGAGTTAAAAAGACAGTATACAAATTTTTTCTAAATCTCACCAACATGGTTTAATACTATTATAATAATACTACTGTATTAATTAGATAAATTGTTTTGAAACTTTAAAAAGCCCATTACAAATAAGCTTCCATATATATATATATACACACATACACACACACACACATATATATACACACTGTATATACATTTAACAAAAATACAATGTCTAAGAATCACCATGACTTACAATCATCATTTAGATTTATATAATAAAATCTAAATAATATATCTATTTTCTAAAGTTAATTCAAAAGGATTCCTTATAGGGTTTAAAAGTCCGAATATTTTAAGTATATATTGTAATCAAAAACCATATGAAACAGAACTTACTTGTTCCTCCAAGTGATCTAAATCCTTCTCGAATATTTTGTGTAAACATAGGGATAATGGGCTAAAGAAAAGAATTTAAATTAAAAAAGTAAATAAATAAATCTATTCAATGACTCTATTGAGTCTCTAAGGCAAACTTTTGAAGGCCTGTTTGAAATTATAAAAATAAGATTTTAAAAATAGAGGCACACTTAACTAATGTGATTTACCAGACTAAATTAAACTTAATCATTTGTAAAAATATAAATTGTAAAAATAGAAACACTACCCCCTAGTGGTAATATGTAATATTTCATTTACCAAGTCTGCTAACAATCCACACAAACTCCTAAAACTCAAAATAGAGATTACAGTATAATTTCATTAAGTAAAATCAATGTAAATTGGTAAATTGGCCTTAGTGGGCTACTGAATAGTATGCTCACTGAAGAAAAGTTACAAGATAAAGATTCTAAGGGAAATGTTAAATAAATTTAAATAACTGGCTCTGGCAATATGCTGTCATGTAATTCATGGAATTAATAAAATATCATTTTTAAAGTCTATTAAGTGTAAAACATTCAACATTCATGAAAAGTAAGTATAAGACTCTCTACTAAAAAATGGAAAATACATATTTAATAATTCTTTTATACCATTAATTTCAGAGGATTTCTGCTCACCAGGTAATTATTTTTGTTTTTCCATGAATATTAATGATTAAATATGAATTTAATAATGAAATCATTAACTAAACATCATAAAATAATGAAATAGCATACAAGGAGGTTATGCTACCAAGAATACTGAAGCAGACAAAACACTGAATAAAACACTTTAATATATACAGATATAGTAAATGTTTTAGAATTGATAAAACTGTATGTATGTGAAGTACCATGTATATGCCTAATATAGAACTATCTGCAACAAGCAGGATTTGAGATATATTTAAAGAAGCTAACATTTTAGAACTCATTCTTACTCATACACCAAATGAAAGAAAACAAGTACAGAGTTCTTCATAAATGCTTAGGCCCTCCTACAGAACTAACCAATCACTTCCTGCATCTCTCCTCTAAGCAGAAGGGAAGGCAGCTAATACATTTTTGGGACATTGTTTTGGTCACTGTGTAACCCCAACACTAGGATCTTGTACCCGGAATTGATAAGGAGTTAAAAGAAAGTGAAGGGGGCTGGGGATTTAGCTCAGCAGTTCGGTGGCCTGCCTTGCAAGCGCAAAGGCCCGAGTTCAATCCCTGGTACCCCCCCCAAAAAAAAAGAAAGTGAAGTGATGGATGAATTAAAGAAGGAATGAAAAAACAGAACAGAGGCAATTTCCTAGTGAATTAATTTGTATTCTCTGAAAACAAAGAGCAGAAATAGCCAGTGTGATATCAAAATCAGGAAGGAAGAAAAGTCAAGAAAGAAAAAGAGGTGAAGAATTTAAAATTTCATGGAGTTAATTTACAAGGCCAACAAGTAAAAAGGTATAATACAGTGAATTCTTTTGTTAAAAAAAAAAAAAAACCTAGGGCCAGAGATTTATTCTGCTGCCTGCTTTGCAAGTGCGAGAACCCAAGTTCGATCCCCTGTACAAAATAAAAAAAAAACTAAGAAATCACTAATTTTGTAAAAATTTTAAAAGTTATAATGAAATCCTCACATTTTAAATAGTTACAAAATGTCTTCAGAGTCTAGAACCTAAACTGCTCAAGAAAGAACAGAAAACAGTCAGCACAAAGATTCAGTTTTATCTTCCTTGACCAGTACTGCTAGACTTAGGTCTACTGACTGACTGGCATGATCCCAAAAGTATGTATTGAAGAATGCACTTCTATAGATCATTCGGGTTCAACAGCGTTCCTTAAATAGCTAACTCTCTGGTGTCTAGACATTTCTAGAACCTACTGATAGTACAGAAGAAAGTTTACCCTTACAGGCTCAGTATTCTCTAGTTTTTAAATTTGCATTTAAGTTTGCATTCTTAGCCAGAAGCATTAGCTTATTACAGTATAAACTTTAAACCTTTCCTTGTATACACTATATATACAAGATAGATGAATAAGTAACCTACAATGCCAACTGTTTACATATATACATGTGTCTCTATGTACGTGTGTGTACACATGTGTGTAAGATAAAATGTGTATTTTTAAAGCTACTCTTGGGAAAGCAGTTCAGCATATTCCTAGGGTCTTGCTTCTGCTTCTAAAAACATAAGAACCACTAGACAAATTAGTTACCACACTTCTAAGTCTTTCTTCATGTATAAAATGGGGATAAATAATTATCTTTAGCTCAATGGTTTTTTTATGGATTGAGATAATACGAATTAACAATTTATCAAAGTAAATGTTATCTTCTTTTACACTTATTTTCCAATTAAAAAGGTAATTTCCCCAATTTGTTTAAATATTCAATTACCTAAAATATTTTTCAAAGCCCTAATGATCAGCAATTTATAAAATAAGAATGACTCATAGTACATATCAAAAAGTCTGTTATTTTCAAAAGAACCTTTCATATTTTCTACCAGTATTTTGTGAACTGTATTAACAATCTGGATTTTTCCTTCTTAATTTGTATTAGTACATTACTATTTAGTTACTTATTGCAGTGCTACGGACTGAACATGGGGCCTTATACCTGCGAGGCCAGCACTCTATCAGTTACGCCCTCAAGCCTAGTAAGTCACAATTTAACTATAGTTACTCCTTTAACAATAGTCTTAAATCTTTACTTACAATAATTTTGTGAGGCCAATTAAGGAATTTTCCAGATGGGATTTCTGTCACTTATGACTACATCCATACATTACTGAAAGATTTCCCTCACATTATCTGGAAGGCCCCTTCAAACTCAGATGTCCGCAGACTCACTGTGAAATGCAGTCAGGGATGGCAACAGCACCGTTGCCTCGAGTCCTGAACTGTGTGCTCTGCTGCTGCCTTGCTTGTGACAAGATCCCTTCCATCCCTCCATCTCTCTGTGCCTGAGTCTCCTCATCTGTAACATTGGAATAATTACATACGTCACCTCCTTATTACATAGGAGTACCAAGGTCAGTCTTTAAAAATGCTACAAAATTTTGGGCTGGCATAATATTTACGAAACTTAAAATGTTATTCTGTGAATCTACAATCTTAAAGATTGTTGTTTTCAAATGTATAAAGGTTATTTCTTAAATATTTTGAAGTTTTATACAAAAATCTTAACTAAAGTATCAAGATTATTTTAACTGATTATCTAGAAATGTAAGGATTAGACAAACAGTTCTTCCTGTATAATCTTTTCTCTCAAACTTCTTGTAAGCAACATGCTACTTAAAACTATAAATTTAGGGCCGGGTGTGGTGGCACACGGCTATAACCCAGCATTTGGGAGGCTGAGGCAGGAGGATCACTGTGAGTTCCAGACCAGCCTGGGCTACAGAGTGAGTGCCAGGTCAGTTGCAACTACATAGTGAGACCCTGTTTCAAAAAACAAACAAACGAAAAAACAAAACTATAAACTTAGGGATAAAGAATTAAAATTCCATGACAAATTCATGTAATTTCAAATCTACTTTTGTTATCTTAAGAAATTCTTTCAAAATATAAATGTAAAAAGTGAATCGTCTATAGATTTTAGTTTAATTAGGCTTTTAGTTTTTATTATTGCATTAATAATGCATTATATTGATTAGTCTTAATTTTTACTAGCACCATTAACAAAATTAAATTCAAAAGGCTTCTTTTTGCTATACTTAATAGTCTATAGTTTTCTAAAAAGTTGCTTCAATAAAATTAACACTTAAGGCCTACTGAAAGCTGGTTTTTGTAGTAAGAATTTGAATATGAAATCTTTGTCATGATAGTCCTATTTAAATTGTCATGTTACCTAAACATTTGGACAACAATATTTATTTGTATTAAGATGACATTATTAAGATACAGCAATAACTTTGAAGAGTTACATATACATTTATACAGGAATGAGAAGTGATCAATGCATTTTATTTTATTGTAAACTTTGTAATTAAAATATAAAAATCCATGCTTCAAATATTATTTTTTGGTTAGAATGAGTTGTCAGTAATCTTTCTTTTTTAATCAACAGTCTACAGATGGGCAGTTGAAAGATGAGCCATCAAGCCAAAGATGCAGACCGGTCTCTATGTGGCAGCAGCTAGGACACAAAATCCTGAAATATAAAAGTTACTGGCAGCAGTCTCTACCTAATAGGCCTAGAAAAAGAAGAAAAATACCCTATCAAAGGTAATACAAGTTCTCTTTCAGACAAGCTACAATAAAAATAAACAAAACAAAGGAGAGACATTTCCTATGTAATAGATATTTCACAGAATAAAGTACAAGATGAAAACCAAAATGCCGGAAAATACTTTCCAAAGGCAAAAGAAATACAAAATGGCATTCACATTGCTCGGTCTATTAGGTAGAATAATTACAGTGAATCACTGAGGAATGCTTAATTTACTGACAAATTCATTTGGAAAGTCTTTAAGAAATATCTAAATTATAGCAGTGTCTATTATCTTTTTACTATTACAAAGCTTATCATATTTGCTGATGAAAAATGATAGAAATCAAATATTATTTGGGTCTTATTACAAAAGTTGGTCACAGATAAAAAACTATTATGAAACCAAAACTATCATTGAAATATATCAATTCATTCATATCAAAGGTACTAAAGGACTAAAATACATATAATTGAATTGATTATACTTATGAAAAAAGTGTAACTGAAGGAAGAACTTATTTGTATAATATTAATCTAATGAAAAGAAACTGGATTTTAAACTTAAAAAAAAACTTGCTGAATATTTACCAAATTTCCAGATTAATTTTATTTAATATGATATCCCATGCACAAGGACTATTTCTCTACTGAGAGCTTACAAATTGTTATCTAAGTGCTTATGTATTTTGTCTCCGTAAGCACTTCTCATTTAACTAAGTTTACTTGAAAAATTTTATATGACTTACCACTTTTGCATCGATTGCAACCTGAGCAAAGCCCTTACGATTACCCCATACAATGTTGTAGGTTTCATCACTAATTAGGGCTTCTCGAACTCCACCAGGTGAAATAGCTAACAAGTGACCACTCCTCAGAATTTCAACACATTTTTCTCTTGGTCCATGTAGAGCACAAAATACATCAAGTAATAAACTAAACCCTGTAAGAAAAACAATCAGAAAAATAAATCTGAAATACTTCTTGTTCAACATTTTGAGAACAAAAATTTTCACAACCTATATGATTTACTAGCTATACTTATATCAGAAAACTTGTATTTTATAAAACAATAATTCCTAAGGTTAGCATAAAACTATATTGCTTGTGAAGTAATAGTTGTATCTTACTGACCATTTGCTACTAATTACTACCACTCTGACTACATACTCACAAACTCAGTTAAAATTTACAACACTCTTGGAAAACAGGGATTCTTTTCCCCATTTTATAGAGGAATCTTGGTCTCATATTAGGCAGCATGCTCAAAGTCACACAGCTAAGAAGTGATAGAGCAGAAATTCTCACCCAGTTATATACAGGACAAAGTTCAAATATATTCTAAGGTATTCACGAGATCAACCAGAAATGATATCCCATCAGCAAGCACAAATCTAATCTTACATTAATACTATAAGAATCACTAAAGAGAATGTGAATCTAACTATGCTTAGCCCAACTAAAACAAACAAGGCTAGAATGTACTAAAATTAAGTTAGATAATGCTAGTCTTACAATTAAATTTTTAAAAATAATAGGAAACATCATTAAGACTTTTTAATAAAATGAGGGTATTTGATTCAAGAATAACTAATTCCAAGTCTTAATGTTACACAGCTTTTCAAATTACAAGTATTTATGGATGGAAGACACAATCTTCTGAGTAATTAAATACTTTAGTCAAATCCTACACTAGAGCTTTAGAGGATAGTACGTGTGCATTTCTTCTTGAGACTGGGGAAAACAGGGATGACTATTAATAACTTTGCAGACTAATCAAACTTCTCATTAGTTTAAAGATATGAAGCAAAAAATACAACCACTATATCATTAAGGTTTACATAGTTTTCATCCTACATTATTTTAAAAGCTCACGGGTTTAACTAAATGCATTCTCATGATGAATGACTGAAGGGGACTTCATCAATTACTAAGATAAAATATAAAACTTCTCTTGTACCAACAAGTGTAATGACTTCATACCTTCTGAAAACAGTGACAGAGTTAAGGTAGATCAATATCAAAATGTTACAATAATCAAAAAGAAAAATATTTTTTCAAAAAGCCAATGCTAAAAAATATTTTATTATTTCTAAAAAGGAAAAAATGGAAAACAACCTACTTATTTTGGGTTTTTTGTGGGTTTTTTGTTTTTGTTTTCTGAGACAGAGTCTCAGTATATAGTTCAGGCTGCCCTTGAACTCACTATGTAGTCCAGGCTGGCCTGGAACTTGTGGCAATCCTCCTGCCTCAGCCCCTCGAGTGCTGGGATTATAGGGATGTGCCACCACAGGCTATGCCCAACAACCTAAGACTAAAAGAAAAAAATAGTTAAGTAAACATTTTAGTAACATCCTAAAGCTATTCCTTATAAAACATAGTGAGTATATTAATGCTAATATAAACTCTTTTTTGAAAAAGTCCACAAAAGTTGTTTGCAAAATATGTACAAATTAAAAATAAAGTAAAATAAAAATTAGTGGTTACGTTAGAATGATAACATTACAATGATATTCTTCTGATCTCTAGTTTCTATATCTATTATAAAGTGGTCATATTACTATTTAAAGGGAAGTCTTACAGCCAATTTAATTTATACACAAACCACAAATGGGTATTTAGTGATACATGCAAAACCTTTATGAAAGCACTGAAGTAGATCATTACTTAATTAACTGCGTGGTTTGAGTCTGTCTAGTTGATGGTCAGTTTGCTTTTATTATTTCAAAGCATACACTATCTACTTTCTTGGCATGTTTCTAGTGATTTAAGTAGCAGAAGAAAATAGATTTAATCTCAATGAGTTAATTCAAAGATGACTTTAAAAAACTGTCATGTTTAAATCCATCTAGCTAATCTTTTTAAAAGGCTCAAAGCTTTATAAACAGTTTAAAAGCTGTGTATGACAATATAAACTAATCAATTTTTTCCTTAATTTTGATTTATTCTCAAACTGATAGCTATAACACTCTAATAGTAAAAGTAAACTACAAAAATCAATATATATCCCACAAAAAATTTATCATATGAAAAATCAATCACACTCTATGTCATTACATACTGTTTTGTAAAAATTAGGATTTATTTTTAAAGTTTAACACTTGGGCCAAGGGCATTTTTCAGTGGTAAAGTGCTTGCCTAATATGTTCAAGGCCCTGGGTACCAACCATCCCCAGTCATGTCACGCAACAATAAAGTTCAAGTTTAAGCCTAGAGCATTGAAGAATGCTTAGTCCCAGATACTCAGGAGGGAGAGGTAACAGAATTGTCATGAGACCAGGAATGCAAGGCCAGCCTGGGCAACACAGTGAAATACCACCTCAACAAAAACAACCAAAAAAAAAAGATAGGACAAAAAGATATAACTTTAAAAAACGAAATGAAGCTAAATACTTGTCAATAAAGAAAGAAGGTAACACTTTTGGCTATAATGCTTTCATTTTTTGGATATACTGCCTAAACAATTTAACTAGATGCTTTCAAATTAGGATTCTATACAGGCCTATCTCCCTAATGAACATAAATGCAAAAATCCTCCATAAGATACTGGCAAACAGAATGCAGAAGATCATTAAGAAAATTATACAGCCTGACCAAGTGGGATTCATCCCAGGGATTCAGAGATTGTTCAACACACACAAATTAATAAATGTAATACACTATATTAACAGAGTCAAAGACAAAAACCATATGATCATCTCAATAGATACAGACAAAGAAAAAGTGTTTGACAAAGTCGAACATTCATTCATGATAAAAACCCTTTGGAAAATTGAAATAGATGGTCTTTTTCTCTACCTGATAAAAGCCATCTATAACAAACCAACAGCCAACATTAGACTAAATGGGCAAAAACTGAAAAATTTCACACTAAAATCAGGAACAAGACAAGAATGTCCACTGTCACTACTCTTGTTCATATTGTTCTAGAAACATTAGTCACAACAATTAGGAAAGATAAAGAAATAAACGGAATAAAGATAGGAAATGAAGAAGTTAAGTTGTCATTATTTGCAGATGTCATGAAGACCCCAAAAACTCCTCCAAAAGACTTCTAGATTAAATAACCAAATTCAGTAGAGTAGCTGGATAGAATGTCAACATTCAAAAATCAATAGCTTTCCTGTACATGAATAACAGACTCATTGAGCAAGGAGCTGGAGAAACAACACCTTTCACAATAGCATCCAAAAAAACGAAACACCTAGGAATCAATCTAACAAATGAAATAAAACATCTCTACATTGCAAACTATAGGAGAAAAAGGAGATTGAAGACAATATCAGAAAATGGAAAGATATCCTGTGTTCTTGGGTAGGAAGAACAAATATAGTGAAAATAGTCATACTTATGAAACTGTTATACAGATTTAATGCAATCCCAATCAAACCCCAACAGCATATCTCACAGAAATTTTTTTTAAAAAATCCTAAAATTCATTTGTTTTCTTTTGTGTTTTTTGTTTTTGTTTTGCTTTTTTGATACGAGGGATTGAACTCGGGTCCTTACACTCGCCAGGCAGGCGCTGGAACCACTGAGCTAAATCCCTGGCCCGTAAAATTCATTTGAAAACAGAAGAGACCTAGAATAGCAAAGGCAATTCTGGGTAACAAAGGTAAGGCAGGGGGCATCACAATCCCTGACTTGGAATTACACTACAAAGCCATTGTGATAAAAGCAGCACAGTACTGGCAAAAACAAAAAATCTGGGGATCAATGGAAAAGATTAGAAGATTCAGTAATAAGTCCAGACATAACCAGCCATTTTATCTTTGACCCAGGAGCCAAACACCTTCACTGGAGGATACATAGCCTCTTTAATAAATCGTGCTGGAAAAACTGGGTTTCAACTTGTCAAAGATTAAAACTAGACCCATATCTTTCACCATGCACTAAACTAAAATGAAAATGGATCAAAGATTTAAATATTAAAAAAGAAACAATAAATCTGCTGGAAGATAGATTAGGCTGAAGACATTAACATAGGCAAAGACTTTATTAACAAAAAAACCTCTGTTGCAAGGGAACTATAACAAAGAATGAACAATTAGGATCTCATCTTATTAAAAAGATTTTGCACAGCAAGAGAAACCACGAACAGAGTGAACAGACATCCACATTGTGGGAAAAATTTTCTTTACCAGCTGTTTCTCAGACAAAGGACTATAAAGAACTCAAAAAAATAAGAACCCCCAAATTAAGACTCAATCCAAAACTGGGCATTTTCTCAAGAAGTAGAAACAACAAATAAACATATGAAAAAAATGTTCAACATCAGTGGTCATTTGTGAGATGCAAAGTAAAACAATGCTGAAATTCCATCTCACTCACAAAGAGTGGTTGCTATCAAGAAATCAATCACCAAATGCTGGTAGGCCTGTGGGGGAAAAGGAACCCCTCTCCATGGTTGGTGGGAGCGGACTGGTGCAACCACTGTGGAAATCAGTGTGGACATTCTTCAAAAAACTAGGAGCAGAGGTCCTATTTGACCTAGATATTCACCTTCTAGGTATCTTCCCAAAAGAATTAAAAGCATTGTACCACAGCAATATATGTGCACCAATGTTTCTAGTGGCACAAGTTTGTGAATAGCTAAATCTTGGAAACAGCCCAAATGCCCATCAAGTTTTGAATGGATAAAAAAATATGTGGTTTTGTTAATACAATGGAGTAGTATTTAGCCACAAAGAAGTATAAACCTGAGACATTGCTAGGTAAATGGATGCAACTTGAGAATATACTCAAGTGAAATAAATCAAATACACATGTATACATATCACATTGTCTTTCTGGTGTGAGAAACTGAAAGTAAAAATAAGGACCAAAAAGAATATAGTGAAATAGGAAGAAATTGTTCAAAATTATACAGAATGTGAGATACTTTTTCAATACTTAAATGTTTTTTTAATTTATTTTTTTTCTTTTCATTGAGTTTATTGGTACATTCTAGGTATACAGTACAGTTACACTCACTACTGGGATCTTGTACCTTTACATGACAGGTCTTGGTTCTCATTTTTTCCCCTTGTCCCTGCCCTCCCTTCAACCCCTCCTCCCCTCCCCATTTACTTTATTTCCATTTTTTCATATTTTTTTCTTTTCCCTTATTCCCTTTCCCCTACCCTTCCCACTTTCCCTACACCTTTAGCCCTTTTCTTCCTATTTCACACTGTTAATTATCCCATTAGGATCTTGTGTACTATTATAGTTTTTCACACCAGAGATTAAATGTTTTTTTAAAAAGGTATGGTATTAGGAAATGAGTGGAGAGATAGACTAGCAAATGAAAAATATTCTTTTAAGATCATGATACACAATATACTTACCATGGTTATTCTCTAATAATTTTGCTATGAAAAATTATTTTTTCATAGAACCACTTTTATATTTTCTTTATTAACATCTATCTTTCTCTTAAGTGAAATAAATCAGATCACACATGTATAAATCCTGCATTGTTTCTCTGGTGTGAGAAACTGAAAGTGTAAGTGAGGATCAAAATGTATAACAGATATTGTGAAATGGCAAAAAACAAAATGTTCAAATGGAAAGGAACTGGGGAGGGAGGCAGGGGAAGGGAAAGAAAGGAAAGAAAAAATGAGAAAAGAATAAAAAAATGGAAACAAAACATTTGTAAATAAGGAGGGGAAGAAGGGTTGAAAGGAGGAAAGAGGATAGGAGAAATAAGAACTAAGGTACATCATGTACAGACACAGATTTCCTATAATGAATGTGATCATTATATACCTAAAATATACCAATAAACTTAATAAATTTAAAAAATTGTTAACTTATTACCCTGAAATGGCAGGGAACTTTTTCAAATGGTACTGAAGTTTAAAGACAAACTATCATATAATTTGTTTGTGTTAATTAAACACGTTCATATTACTATCTTTGGTAAAACTTTACCTGGAATTTTAAAGACAAAGTGATCAGCTACTACTCGGCAAGTTCTGCCTTTGAGGATAAAAATTTTTGCCATGAAATAGTAAAAATCGATGGGAATAGCTCCATGATAAAAAATTATAAGTGCTGGTCCTTCTTCTGGTATTTTTTCCATCCCATGAACTTCATAACCTGTTTGAAAGAAAAAATACAGACACTAAAAATATATTTGTTAATTTGCACTCAACAGTGGTCAATAATTCAAAAGCTGTCTTTTTTTTAAAACAAAAGTACAGAAACTTTCTTGGTTTCCTTTTCATTCCTCTTTTTATTTCCTCTCTTTCCCTTTCCCTTTATTCCCTGAACAAATTAGTTATACGTCATAAAATGGTGTGGGATAAAATATGCACTTGTATGGAGAGGTGGCCCTGAGTATTAGGAGTCCAGGCAGGGTAAGGTAACCAGAAGTGGGGAGCCAAAGCCAAGGCAGAGTTGTGACAGCACCCATGTGGAAAAGAGCCTAGGAGTAGAAAAACAAAGGGAGCCCAAGGTGAGAGAAGCAGGGTCAGAGCCAAAGTGAAACAAGGAGGACACTGACACACAGCAGCGGCTTTGCGTGAAGGGTCACAGCTAAGGAGATGAAGAATTACCTGTGAGGGAGTGCTGACCTGGTGTAGGGCATTACAGCCAGGGCGGGTGAAGCCATCATACCACACAAGGTGGAGGCCTGGCCTCAGACGTTAGAGCCCAAGGGAGTAAAAGGGTGTCTGTGAGTGTTAGGGGATGGTGGCAATTATGGTAGACTAGTTACATAGAAGGGGACGGATCAAATGTATGCATATTAAAGAAGATGCCCCAGGTTTCCCACTGTTGGAGGAGGGGGTTATATATAGAAGAACAAAGAACTAGAATTAACTCTACAGCCACAAGAGTTAACTTCCTTCTTACAGTGAGACAAGGCAAGATTGTCTACAAACTGCTAACTTTTCTTGAAAATGTTAGAGCTTAAAAAGCTAGTGGTTTCAGGAAAGTATGTTTGATGTTTCAGAGATGTGAATCAACCTAAAATTGTTTTTAGTTCTAATGTTATCTATCAGAGCTTTTTTTAACCCTATAGATTCTATGATCCTTTCATTTTACATTTTTCTTGAGATAGCAGTATGATTGTTTTTATTCATACACTCATACAATTTTCCAAGTATGATATAAAGAACTTATATCTTTTCCAATCACTTAATTCTAACACAAGTTATTCAATTTACTTTAAGCTCTGCAGAACAATTATTGAGGTTATAGAAGGTTATCAAAAGGTCAATTATAATATTTTTTGAGAAATAAAAGTCTCTAGAAGGATATTCTATAGAGGATATTCTTGAGGTTCTCTCGGGATACAGAACAGTTTTGAAAATTTATAAAATAATTTATCTACCTACATAACTATTTACCAAATCATCTAGTTGAAAGCAGAAAAATTAAAAATAATCAACTATTGACAAAAAGTTTGTCATAGTGCCACTAAGCCCCAATATTATTTAACTGTGTAATTGCTAAAGCACAGATATGATTATACCATTCTCTTCTCAGAATACATCAGTGGACAAGCTGGTCCAACAATTTCAAGGCCATTTAAGTCCCAACTGCCTATTGAGTGACCATTTATCTATATGAACCAATTATGGCTCCCTGAATATATTTCCCCATTTTTGTGTTTCTGTTCATATAGCTTCTCTTAGGTGGACCATTTCTTGACCTGTGTTGCCCTGCTTAGCAGTAGAAATTATACTGTACTTTAACTATTCCTCCCTTAGACTACACTCATTCACCAAGTTCTGTGCATTTTACCTCCAAAAGCTCTCTTAAGTCTGTCACTTTTTCCCCTTCACAGTATCAAAGTGCAGCACTACCAACTTGTGATGAGCCAATCGTAGGGGACATATGATGAGCAATGGAAACAGAGAAAACAATCCCAAAGGTAATTACTGTCACTGCCCACCTAAGCACTGTCTGGCAAAGGGCATCTGGGCTCCATTAACAGCAATATTCAGTTCACTGAAGAATTCAGCTTTCTTATTTGATGTCATTTAATACAAATGTATTCCCCTCCTCTCCTTTGATCTCTTGTTCAATAGGCACCCTCCTGATTTTTCTGGATCCTCATGTATATTAGCCTTCCAGGAGAGGACTTTAAAGGTCAGTCTCACAGAAATCAAGTAGTTCCTCTAATATCCCCAAAGGCCATGTTCTGGGGCTTGGATGGCAGCTGATAGGCTTTTGGAAGAATATTAGATCATGAGAGTTCCACCATCAGTGGATTAGTCTGCCACATCCTTCTGCCATGATGTTTCTACCCTGCCACAGGCTTGAAAGCAATGGAGCCAGCAGACTAGAAACTGGATCCTCTGACACTATCAGCTAAAAAACAAATACAAAAACCTAAGGATCAACCTAACCAAGGAGGTGAATGATTTCTACAATGAAATAATAGAATACTGAAGAAACAAATTAAAGTACACACTACTTTCATGTTCATAGATTGGCAGAATTAATATTGTTAAAATGGCCATAATATCAAAAAATACCTAGAGATTCTATTCAATTCCCATCAAAATTAGAATGAAATTCTTCATAGAACTAGAAACAACAATTCAAAAGTTCATAAGTAAACAAAAAAGACCCAGAATAGCCAAAAGCAAAACCAAGCAAAAAGAGGAAGGCTGGAGGCATCACAATACCCAATTTCAAACTATACTACAAAACTATAGTAACAAAAACAGCATGGTATACACAAAAGTAGACACTGAGACCAAAGGAAAAAAATATAGGACCCATGCAACTGCAGCCACCTGCTTCTTGACAAAGGAGCCAAAAACATACATTGAAGAACAGACAACCTCTTTAACAAATGGTGCTGGGAAAACTAGATATCTGTATGTTTCAAACTGGACCCCTAACTCTCACTTTGTAAGAAATCAACTCAAAAATTGATTAAAGACATAGCAATAAAAGCTGAAACTTTAAATTTCTAATGAAAATACAGAGGAAATACTTGAATTCATAGGCACAGGCAAAGACCTCTTAACTAGGACTCCAGAAGCACAAGAATAATAGCAAAACTTAGCAACTGGAACCACATCAAATTAAAGTTTATGCACAAGAAGGAAAACAACTAACAGTGAAGACAGCATACATAATGGGAGAAAAATTTTGCCAGGTATTTTTCTAAAGAATTAGTATCTATAATAGATAAAGAATTAAAAAAAATTTTTAATCAAATAACCCAATTAATACATGGGGAAATGAATTGAACAGACACTTCTCAAAAGAAGTACAAATGGCCAAGAAGAATTTGGGGAAAAAAAAGTTCAATATCTTTAGCCATGAGGGGATGCAAATAAAAATTACACTGAGATTCCATCTCACCGCAGTCAGAATGGCTATCATCGAGAATACAAAAAATAGTAAAAGCTGGCAAGGGCAAAGAGAAAAGGAACCCTTCTGCACTGCTAAGAATGTAAATTACTACATCCCCTATGGAAATCAGGATGGATGTCCCTCAAAAACCTAAAAATTGAGCTACTGTTGATAAAGCTGCTCCAGTTCTTGTTATATACTTGAAGGAATTAAAGTCAGTATATTACAGGGAAATGGCTCAATCATGTTTATTGTGGCACAAGTGACAACAGCCAAGATACGCAACTAGTCTAACTGCCCATCAACACATGAATTTTTTAAATGTGAGAAAAAAATACGTACATGTCAATTTTCATTTTGTGATATTTATTCTTTAATGCTACCAATTGTTTTGTTAATCTTTTGGATAAAAGTGGTATCTCAATAACATTTTAATTTGCATTTCCCTAATTACTAGGGGGGACTTGCACATATACAAACCATTTATATTTCCTGATCAAACCCTTAGGCCATCTGTTTTATTTCCTTGTTTGTTTGTTTGTACCAGGGATCAAACTCAGGACCTCACACTTGCCAGGCATGTGCTGTGCTGCTGAGCTAAATCCTCAGCCCCAGGCCATCTTTAAATTGGACTTTTTTCTTACTAATTTTCTAAGACAAGTTGTAAATAGTTGTGCTGATCTGGCCCACCACTTCTGTCTTCTAAAAAATAGCTTTCACATTTAAGTCCTAAGTATTAGATTTCATAAAACTATTTTCTATAAAATTGACTACAAATCTTTTTCTATGTGTCCTCTTCAGTTTTGACAGAAAAGTTATACTAGCTTTGTGAAGTAAACTGAGGAATTCCACATTTTTTTCTTCACCTTGAAAGAGATAAAAGTCTGGTAGAACTCATGGGTTTTTGTGAAGAGAAGAGATAAGCTTTGGACATGATTCCAATTTATTTTATGATTAATTTTCTCTGTCTTTATTTTAAACCAACTTTGATCACTGTTTTCCTTTAACACTGGCCATTTCCATTAGTCTCTAAATATAGTGGTAGCACATAGTTATTATTTTTTCCCTATTTATTCTTAACATATTTTCATTGGCTTGTACCACTGGCAGTACATACATGACTATCCCATCAAGTGGTTTGTACCACTGATGGTTGAAGTGGTACCAGTGCTTGCAGCCACTGGCTGCAAGACATACAAATTACATCCTGTCACCAACATGTTAAAAGACTTGTTCAAAAGCTATCTCCTCTGAGAATAGTGCTTTTATTTTTGTCCAGTAAGAGTATTTAATATTTAATGAGCATGTATATGACAAAAACTATACTGGACTAAGTAATCACAAAACACAAAAAATCCTCCACAGATGAGGAAAACAGTGTCAAAAGCCCTATCATTTACCCAAGGTTATACAATGGGACCAAGATACAAACCTGCGTTTGCTAAGTCTGTGTTCCTATATCATGCCACACATGAGTACATAGATCCGTGGTTTTCAAACACTAGTTATAATTTATTAATGAGTTGTGGAATCAACTTAGTCAACCATGAAATCATTTAGTGAGTTGTGAACAGCATTTCTTAAAATAAAAGTGTAGAATATAAAATAAGAGCAGATTACAGGTAGAAACATACATACTTTTCACAAAACAGTGGATAACATGTATATGCATAGTGGATAAAAAAAATGCCTTTCTTACTAAGAATGATAGAACTATGACAGTTTGAAAAAGTGCATTTTAAATATCAGCAACCCAGTATGTTAAGTTGAACTTAATAATAATCAAGAGGCACAAAGTGTACATATTTTAGTGCCTTCTAAGTTCTCAGAGAATGATGCTCCATAATTATGATACCTAACATTTATTTAAACTTTAGAAATTATACTAAACACTACATGGCATTTCACTGAATCCTTAAATAATCCAGCTAGACGATGCAAATAAAAGTTTCAGAAAAGTTAAACATCTTATTTGAAGCTCCTTACATAGTTTTAAAGTAGCTTTCCCAGTAAACTATTGGAAAATCAATTACAAAGTAATTTATTAAAGTGAAAAAAAAAAGTTGTAACTTTTCTGGTGTAGTATAGTACTGGATAATGAAATTAGAGCCTCATACTTTTTTAGGCAAGTGCTCTACTAATGAGCCACATCCCTGCCCAAAAAAACTAGTAACATTATAATAAAGCTACCTGACAGATATCTTAAAAAGTGATAAAAGTTAGTATCACAAATAATAAGACAAATTAGCATTGTGAGTCTTCTGATATAATGTACTAAGAAGTAACCACCATATTTATGTCATTCTTGTCAAAAATGCAAAACTTTAATCTAATTGTGGAAAATACTACCTCTAAATTGAAAAGCAGTCTATGAAATAAGTGCCCAATATTCTTCAGATGTGTCAAGGTTCAAGGTCATGAAAGACAGAACTAAAAAAACTGCCACAGGCTAGAGGAGAAATGACAACTAAATGCAGTAAGAGATTCTGGGAAAAAAACACTGGTAGAAAAATTTTTCCATTTGAGTAATATTCATAATGTAACAGATTGTACTGTTCCACTGTTAATTTGATAACTGTACAATGATTCCATGTTAACATTAGGAGAAACTGGGTGAAACTTACATAAGAACTCTTGATACTGTTTTTGCAACTTTTCTGTAATTGTGGATTTTTTTTTTCAAACTACAGTTTAAGAAATCATAATTATTGCCAAAAAGAAGGAGAAAGATGGCATGAAAAGTAAGAGACTTTTATTACATAAGAGAAAGGGTAAGGTAGAGGTGGTGAAAGAAAGGGTATGGAAGAATAGATATGATCAAAATATATTACTTGCATATAGGAAAATACATTAAAACCCAGGATTTTATAAAATCAATAGGTACTGATAAAACATACTTTACCAAAAAGAAGACATCAAAGACATATGGTTCTTGTTTACAAACCTGCTGAATATCATCACGTTTGGCTCTGAATCCCCAACCCTGGAAAGACTTACTGCATAATACAGAACATAAACCTCAGAGGCAGATGTCAGATATTGTATCCTGGCTCTGCTTTCTAGAGTACCTTAGACAATAAACCTCTCAGAGCTAAGTTTCTATATGGGTAAGATGGAAATAGTATATAAAATGTATCTATCATATTATAAAGTTTAAAGGAGTCACTGCATTTCCAGTGTTTGATATAGTAAGTGCTCAAAAGAAATTTATAAGTACGTATATTAAGGCAACAACACCTTGGCCTAATAAGCAGGTCATTGGTGACTTTTGCTAACAGCAGCCTTATACTTCAGTGATACGTACCTTCCAATGTCTATTTCAAAGTCTGTGCTTTTATGCTCTCTTGTAAAACCACTTTTGACACTCAACATGATATAGAAAGCCACATCTCTGTCACATGTTGCTATGGTTTGTACCCACCAAAACTCATGTTGAGACTATATTCCTCAACGTAGCAGTGTTACGAGGGACCCTGGGAGGTGTTTGGGTGAGATGACAGAGCCTTTTTGAATAGGTTAATGCCATTCCCCAGAATAAATGAATTTTTGTTCTTGGGAGACTATATAAATTACCTCCAGGGAAGGCTATGTAAGGCAAAGTTATACTTCACGTTTTGCTTCTTTGCACACTGTTTGCCCTTGTGTTTTTCACCATGCGTGGAGCAGCATGAGGGTCACCAGAAGCTAAAACCATGTTCTTGGTCTTCCAGAAGTAAAGACCAAAATAAATGTTTTTCCTTTATAAATTACCTAGTCTTAGGTGTTCTTGTAGAGCAATAAAAAGTGGACTACAGCACAACCCATTTAATCTCAGGTACTGTATAGTTGTTAAAAAGAAAAAAAAACAAAACAATAAATAAGGTATTGGTGGAATAATGCAGAAAATTTGATAGAGAAAACTATTAAGTCTTTGAAAAGAGTCCACTATAGAGGACAATTTTCATGATAGCCAAATGAAGATCCACTAATTAAGGGCATAATATCTCAAATAATAAAGAAAAGAATTTCCTAGAAAGAAATCTATTGCCATCCCATTTGATCAGAGACATATTGATTTCAAGATGAATCAAACAAAAAGTAGGTAAATTTTGGTGTACAAATTATAATTAATGTATTATTATAAAATGTTTCATTCTTTAAAAATCTCTGCACTGAAAATATAACTCTGAATAGAGCTACAAAAAAATGCTAATTAATTAAAAAACTTTAAAAGTTTCTACATGAGTTTTAATTCTCCTTAATCTTCTACATATTTTATATATTAACTTCCATTATTAGAGGTAGTCTTCAGAGCTGTGTGGTTCTTCATTTAATAGAAAACAATGTTTGGAATAAATAATTTTATGAAAGATATACAAAAGTACAATGGATGTAAATAGACAATCAGGAATAACTTCATTTCCACTGTATTTTTCAGTTTCTTCTCAACAAACAAAATGGAACAATAATATAGTTTCAGTGCCACAAACAGATAGCAAAATACAGAAAGCAAAGCATTCTGGCTTACCATGCCAAACTGCTGCGTGTCCATCCCACAGAGTTGCCACTGTTTTCCTTGCACCATCCCACAAATTATGAGAATAGGCTTCCTTTAATACATTCTTCCTCTTATAAATGTGTAAGAAAATAATGGTAAGGTAGAGAAGAAAGATAGTAAAGTAAGGAAGTATTACAAGTATTAGAGGTGTAAAGACCCACAAGAGATAGTTTACAAAATTCAAATAGTCTTCCAATTGCTCCACATCAAACCATTCTTCAAGCATGTGAATCAGACAGGTCATATAGGGTATAGAATCCTGTCCTGCAACACAGGTTTGGTTTTTGTCTATCATTTTTCTTTACGTGAAAAAAATGAGGAATTCAGTCTCTTTCTTCATTGCTATAACAGGTCATTAATTTTGACACTAGAAGACAAAAATAAACCAGAGTTATTCTCCCACCAATGACAAAGTTAAACTTGTTAGTCTACATAAATACTATAATCATTTAATTCCAAAATGAGTAGGCTTTTTAATGCTTATCTTTCTGGTAGATTTAAATGTGAAAATAAAGTTTCACCTGTTTGCTCATGAAGTGCGCTAAAGTGAGAATTTGAAATAACTTACAAGCTGTAACTGAGATAGGAAAAAAAAAAATGAAGAGAACTGAAGTTTCACATTGACCTTGATAATCTGACTCATAACTTAAGTAGATCATGTTGAATATCTGGATTTTAAATTAGGTCATGTTGAAAGTAATTGTGTTCTTCACAAAACAAAACATCACTATCTGATTCAGAGTAATTTCTTTAAGAAAGTATAAACACTTTTGGATAATGTGTTTTCATTGAGAAACAAATTTACAGAAAAGCTATCTGTTCTTTTGACACTATGCAATAACAAAAAAGTTATCAGTGCTGTTTTTATCTTATAGTTACTAAAATTGCTCTAAAATATTAAATGACTAAGAATACCACTGACTCTTTCATGAACTTACTCTCTAAAACAATCAATTGACTTACCAGAAATTAGATAAGTATCTTGTCCCAAGCTTCAACGTATGTACCCTGAAAAACAAAGTCAACAAATAGAATATACAGTTAAAGACAGAAGATAACTGTTAACACCTAGAGTTAAAATTTCCATAAAATAAATAGCAACTGACATTTACAAATGTATGACAGATATGATTACAGACCCAGGCTAGTATATCACAACAAAAGTTACATCCATGCTACCACTGCTTTACTAAGGACAACTACTTAGTGCCACTATGCAAAGCCCCACCTAACAATTTCTCTTAATAGCTATAAAAAGCTTTTCTTCTTTGAAAATGATAGTATGAACAAAGTATGAAGTTAGGATATGCAATTGATTAAGTCACTTATTACTAACTTTGCCACCACACATTACAATGATACTATTATATTATCCTTGTGATCATAATTTCCTAGATTTCCTTGATCATCTTCCTACATTCGTATTTTCTCTAGTTCTGATTTTAATATTAGATATTTTACTACTATTCCACGCTATGTAATCTTCCTAGTATTCCATGCTATGTAATCTTAATGAACATCACCTCAGTTCTTTTGTGGCTAAGTCAGAATATGCATAAATGAAAGAAAAGGATAGAAAAAAAAAAAAGACATATACAGAAAAGCCATTACATGTCTTTATGCCACGATTATCTTGTCTGGCTTGTTAACAGGACAGCCACTTTGCCTTGTTTTTCTAGGGACAGAAGTCTAATTTAGTCTAACTTCCTTTAACCAATAGAATTTACTTGTGAGAAACCCTAGCCCATTATGGTAACAGAATATAAATAAAGCATACATTAAGCCTTCAACCAGGGCTTTATTTTTTACATAATTTAAACAGTCCACCTAGAGAGTTGAATTACTATAATTTACAAGTGTTTGATCATTTGAAGTACAAAATAGTAAAATTTAGTAGGCCACATTTGCCACAGAATTATAAAAAACATTCTTCACAGAACTAGAAAAAAAATCACAAAATTCATATGAAACCATGAAATATCTCATATCCAAAGCAATCCTAAGCAGGAGAAACAAAGCTGAAGGCATTACAAAGATGACTAAAAAGCTACAGTAATCCAAAGAGCCTTTAACTGGCATAACAATATATATAGACCAATGGAACAGAAAAGAACAGTGAATGCAGTAGTAAATTCACATATTTACAGCTAACTGATTTTGAACAAAGCCAGAAAGCAAGTACACACATTGGAGAAAGAACAGTCTCTTCGATAACAGGTTCCAGGAAAACTGGGTGTCTACACGCAGAAGAAACTAGATGGCTATATCTCAGTATATACAAAGATCAAAACAAAATGGATCAAAGATTTAAGTTTAAAATCCAAAACCTTAAAATTGTTAGAAGAATACAGAGGAAACTCTTCAAGACGTGGATCTGAACTTTTTGTTTGTTTGTTTTGGTTTTGTCTTATTTGCATATGACCCTTAAAGAACAAGCAGCAAAAGCAAAAATTAACAAATGAGATTACATCAAACTGAAAAGCTTCTTTACAGCAAAGGAAACCACCTACAGAATGAGAGAAAATACTGTATTTGCAAACAATTCATCCAACAAGAGATCAATTTTCAGAATACATAAGGAGCTCAAAAGACTAAACAACAAAATGACCCACATAAATCAACTTAAAAGTGGGTAAACATGCCAGGTATGGTGGTGGCACATACCTATAACCCTATCTAGGATTACCCTGAGGAAAGGGGATTTCATGTTCAAGGACAGCCTGGGCAACTTATGAGACCCTATCTCATAAAAAAGGTATGCAGGCTGGGAATATAGCTCAATGTGAAGGTCCTAGGTTCAATCCTAGGAGTTGTGGTGGAAAGAGGGAGGCAAATGACATGAACAGACATTTTCAATCAGACATGTACAAATTTTAAAAAAAGACATTTACAAATAGACATGTACAAATAAAAAATAAGTTAAAATTTTAAAAAGTATGTACAAATGGAAAACAAGTATATAAAAAAAAGTTCAACATCATAATCAAGGAAATTCATTTTAAAACCACAATGAGAAATTATCTTACCCCAGTTAGTGGTCATTATCAAAAAGATTTTAAAAAATAAATGTAGGGCTGAGAGTATATTTCGTAGATGGCAGAGTACCTGTTTAGCATGTTCAGAAAGCCCTGTCAATCCCCAGCATCAAAACAAACAAAAAACAATTAAGTGAATATTTCAAAAAGCTGAGAGGATTCTGAGTGATGTCTGAGGTGACGGATAAGCTAATTACCCTAATCTGATCATTATACATTGTATACAGGTACTGAAATGCCACCACACACTCCAAAAATAGGTAAAATTATGTTATCATTATGTACCACAAATACGTATTAGTAAGTTTTTAAAGATTTAATTCCAATTATATATATATCTCTATATATAATATATAGAGAGAGGGAGACAAATTTTTAGATTGCAAGTTCAAAGTTCTGATATAAATTGCCTTTCAAGATTTTTTTTTAAACTATAAGTTTAAATTTTAAAAAATCCTAGAATCGGGCGGGGGATTTAGCTCAGTGGTTCTGTCGCGTAAGATCCCGAGTTCAATCTCCGTGTACCAAAAAAAAAAAAAAAAAAAAGCCTAGAATGCCCTTACACTTTTAGTTAAAAATCTTCCACTCTACTTGATGATTACTGTTCTACCCTTATGTTCGTATCCACTCATCGCAATAATGTTAAACATCTAAACTGGTTCACTTGTAACTCTGGGGACTCCTACTTAGATCACCAAAATCAGCCAGCTTCTGACCTCAAAGTGCGTCATCACTACAGTTTGGAGATAAATGCTTCCTTTTAAAGTTAATTTTCCATTTCCACCCACTCGTGGATGAAGCCAAACAATGCCATTTAGGCATTAATGGCAAAAAAAAAAAAAAAAAAA